CAGGGAAGGACTGTAAGGAATCCTTCTTCCTGAGGAGGAAGGAGCAGCAGGAACCACCAGCCTGTGAAGTGACTCTAAACCCTATCCCCTGTCCCCCTGTGCCGCTGGGGGGAAGGAGGGAGAGAAACCGGGAACAAAGTGATTTGGGCCCGGGAAGAAGGGAGGGGTGGGGTAACATCTGCAAGCCCTGCTCTGTGTGTGTCTGTGTCCTGGGTGTGTGTGATTAGTGTGAAATTAAGTTATTATTTTTTCCCCCAGTTGAGTCTCTTTTGCCTGGGACCTTAATCGGTGAAGAACCCTCCTTGTCCTTTGTCTCGGCCCATGAGCTTTGTCCTCCTCATCCCAGAGTGTGTGTGTCAGGGGGGAGTTGAGTGAGTGGCCCCAGGGCTGTTCCTTTGTTGTCATGGCCCAAACCACAACATTATTGGTGAGCCAGCCAGGAGAGACACAAGAAACCACAACATTTACCCAATAATTAGGTAATATAATTGTTTTCATAAGCTGATGGAGTTCAGCTAAGATGATATCCTTCTCCTTTTTTATTCAAAGTATGTCAGAATATTCAAAACGTGACATAGAGTGTTGTGCAGGCAAGTGAAGCAAAAGAAAATAAGTTAACAAATCTTTATTTGTACGCATACCTGTCTAATGATGCACTAAACTCCATAGTCCCACCACTTAAGTTTCTCTATCCTGTTCGATCATCATATGCTTCCTGGTAGTTCAGTGAAGAAAGACAGTCAACCTCTGAGGACTATCCAGCCCACACAGGATCTGAGCCACTCTGCAGGATTACCTGTCTCTCATGATGGATTGCAGATGGATCCCAGTGAAATCAAGCTTCCAAATTGGTACCTTGCATATATACAATTCAGATATGGATTTGAAACATTTTGTCAGGGACTTTTACCTTTGTGTCTTTGCTGTTGGACCTATAGGAATGGAAGCATGTAGTGGAAAAACATTTTTAGAATGCCCTTAGAATGAAGTTAAGAGTCTAAAGGTGAAAGCACATGATCCAAATGACTGTGGTTTAAATTAGCGTATTTCACCTGAGATGTTTTAATTCCTTGCCTATTGCAACTTTCCAGAAGCCTAAAAGTCTAAAGTTTCCATTTTCTGGAAAACTTGATTCATTCTTCTGAGGCATAGAGACCTAATGGTATATTCTCCAGCATAAACTGGACCCATGTCCACTTTGCATACTCTTTCTAGAGTACCTTATCCAGAATATTTTTTTTTCCTAAGTGGCATTGTGTTCAGTATGCATGGTCATATCAGCTAGATTTCCAGTGTTCCTTTTCTTAAAATATCAGTTATTTTATAAAGAGAGATGCCAGATGAATTTGCCATAGTGATAGTCTATTTTGGGAGAAAGCTGTTACTCGTTTTATTCTATTTTTCATTATCTCAATGTCTCTAGCTGCACAATGCTTCATAATTTGTTTAAAATCCTTGCATAGCTCATGAGGTCAGAGCCACTTGTTTTTATGTTGCCAGGATCATGTACATCCCTTTTTCTTAAAAGAAAAAAGTTATGGTTTTATTTTTCAGACATTTGATTGCCAGCCTGATAGATTCATTAAAAGTCTGTTATTGAACTGGCCTTTAATGTGCAAGTATTTTAAGTATGCTTGAGTGCAGATTATGGGGTCTCGCCCTCCTGGTCTAGACACTTCCTTAAAAAGAGTTTTATGTCTTTGTTTTGTTCTCATCTTGGATGAGTAATTTTCATTTCCACAGTCTGTATCATTAGGCACACAGCATTTGCTACTGTAGTCAACAGCCCCATATTAATTTTGTTTTGGACTGTCTGTAAATTATCTTTAATCTTATCTGCTTTTTGCTGCTTGGTGAAGTCACTCATTTTCCTGTTTTCTTTTTAGTTGGATGATGAAAGTACATTTAAGTACTTGCAGTTTTGCAAAATCTGACCCTGCCTAACCTTTTCTTTTCTCACTTTCTCCATATATTTTCTGACATTTGACAGTTTTCCTTGCATATTAGTTTCATTTTCCATCCTACAAACTTTCTGCATACTCTAGATATACTCTCTGAGGTGACTGCTCATCATGCTAGAAATGGAGCCTTTTGTTATGAAAGGTTTTTCCACATGTTTGAAGCTGCAAGTTTTTCTCAACCCACAGTTGGCTTTTTTTTCTTAAAGGAATCCTAGTACTTCCTTGAGTCTTCATTTTTCCTTTATTTTCTGTTGTTGTTTTTTTTTTTTAAGTGCTATTGTTATTTGGTTTTGTTTAGCATTTAATAATGTTCCAGCCATTAAAAAAAAATAAAAATAATTAATGTCTCATCACTTACTCTAGATACAGCTTTCTTGACCAACTATTTAATATAGTCTTGTAGCTTACTTTTCTTTTGGTATGTGTGGCATCCTCAGATACCTGGATCTATTCCTTAGTGGTTGAATTTATTTTCTGGGAAGTTAAAATATCACAGCTTTCATAGTTCTAATTACTTCTTATTTAAGATTCCATAATATTAATTTCTTTCTAAATAGTACTGAAGGTGATACACACAAAAGGGGTACTACACAAACCTTTCTGAAATTAATTTGAAACCAATTAGAAGCCTTTCTACCCTCTGTATCTTTCCTGCAGTTTATTACATACTTGGTTTATAGTTCATCACATCACTATTTTTGTCATGAGGAAGACCTTAAGACTGGTACATGTGGTTGAGGGAAGTAAGAAAAGGATTACTAAGTCAGACTGACTTGCAGTTCTAGTGCAACATCTATGTGACAGGGAAGATACAGTAAGTTAACCAAGCTATTGCAGATAGTTTCATGGCCTTCTACTCTTCAGTACTCATCTTACCCAAATTTTTGGGCAGAATATTGCCTTTTACAATTGAAAAATACATCCAGTTGTCATAATCAGGCTATTTTAAGGGGGTGGTCAAGGTGAAAATCAGTACTACAGTCTTGCAAGTTCATAATAGTTCAATTCCTGCTTGCTTTCAGTTGCATGCAAGAGACCTTCCATTGTTTACCTCACTTTAATTTAATTACTTTTAGATTTTTTTGTGTTTTCTTGTTCAATAAAGCCAAGCTACTCTGTATGGCTACTGTCACTGAAGTCTTTTATTAATTTTCTCTAAGCGGGTTGTAGGAATTTTAAGTGAAATTAGTTTTTTTGCTTTATGCACCACATGTTAGGTTGGTGCATCTCTGAGACAGGTGCTGCTGGGCCATCAGTACTCACCAGCAGTGGCTTCTGCCATTGCCATTTAGGTGTGGGAACAGGAAAATCAATCCTTTTGTTAGAGCATCTTTTCTTCACCAGCAGACATCAAACTGTTAAATCACAAAAGCACCTAACATGGAAAATGCAAAGTCATTGTGATGAGTAATCCTTGAATGGAAGGAAAGTTTCAGGAGATGATTATATTTTGGCTTTGGGTTTTTTAAGCTACTCTAGGACTTACCATTGTTTTCCAGAATCGCTTATGAAGCCAGTGAAGCAGAGCAATGACAAGAGTAGGTTCATATATATATATATTTTATTTTATTTTTTTCAACCTTGCCCTTTACCAACAGAGAGTTATTCATCATTTCTTAAGGTGGCAACTCCTGTTTTAAAACAAGAAATAACTTTCATATGTTTTTGAACTATGTTGTTTTTTTTCAGCTGTTGAACTGTATCTTGTCTTAGAACCCTCTTGGAAGGCAAACAGAATTTTATTGCACAACAAGATACTCCTCTTTTGCTTTAAAATTTTCTATTTACAATAGTTACTTAAATTCCTTCTTATTGGCAGCACACTGGGCCTGTATTTTCACACAGTTGCCTCTAACAGCAGGCAACAGTTGCATTGAAATTAGACAGCAATAACATTCTACTTTTGAGATGTAGTGATTGGAAGGGAATCTTCTGACAATCAGATATACATTAAAAAGGTGTTTGTTTTAAATCTGAATATTCTAGTTCAGAAGATCTGTGATTCACACTTACTACCTAAAATTGTAAAGGTATGCTAAAGAATTAAGTGATAGTAGTTTGCAACTGGAATATAGTGTGGAAAATGATACTTAATGTGCAACATTAATAGTGTAAATTGTCAAATCATCTGCATATTTGTTTTTTTAAAGGAAACAAAATAATTTTTAAGAACTTACCATTCTTCATGCTGTTAGATATACTACAAATTTTAAGCAATGTATTATTCAAATGGTAGAAGGCTAGCATGCCATGTCCTAATAGACTGAGCAGCTGCATTGGTTCTGTATGATATTTCACACTTAGCAAATACTCAAAAGTAAGTATAGTCCTATGAGTATCAAAATATGCTACATTGCCAACATTGTGTTAATTTTTGAGATGAAATTCAGTTTTGGAGCAGCAATAGAGTCTAAGCGGGTGGGAGAGGGCTGGAGGAACCTATAGCCACAGGAGGCTTCAGAAAGGAAGACTCACACCTTTTAGTAGAGGTAGGAGCTGCAGCTGCTGCTGCACGAAGGAGTTACTGTATGCTGCTGTAGCTGGACCTCTCCACCATCCTTTTCAGGGTTTGTACTACCATAGCTAATCCTGTGTCCTCTGTCTGCAGTTTCCAGCTGTTCTTTGCCTACAGCTGGCCAAGGAGGTGAACAGAATCTCAGCACTTGGAGTTTTGTGTCGTTAATAATAGCTAACAGTAGACAAATATGGAAATGAGAAAGAGATGAAAGTAGCAAGAAAGGCCATTGTTTATACAGGTTGTGTTAATTCTGTATTCCTTCTTAAAATAAGAATTCTTAGTAGACCTACCAAAATTACATACACTAGGTTTAAAGTCATGGTGATTTCTCATGTCTTCTCATATTTAAGATCAGATTTATTAATTTCCATTTTTAATTGCATATGAAATACATAAAGTGAATCTGTTAATCACGTTTATTTAAAACCATAATTGATGGAATCTATTTTAAAAGCTGAATTAAAAAAAATCACTTTTGAAAGAAAAAAAGGCCTCGACATACTCTTTCCTTCCATTGCTAGGCCATGGAAATTGTGACTGTGGGAAGTGCAAATGTGATGAAGGCTGGTATGGTGAAGCTTGTCAGTATCCAACTACTTGCAATCTTACACGGAAGAAAAGCAATGAAATGTGCAAGAATTCTCAAGATGTCATCTGTTCTGGTGCAGGTAAGATGTCTTTTGTCATTTTGATGGCTTGATGTTCTCCCCATGTTACCTTGAGAATCAGTGCATATCTTTTTTTTCTGTTTGTTTCAGAATCTTTTCTAATTAGGAATTTTATAGAGTATGTGTCAAGAGACTAAGAAATAACTATAATGTATAGTTATATATATATAACTATAATATTTCATTTTCTTATAGGCCTATTCCCATGCATATGATGTGCACTGATTTAATATGCTTACTTTAGTCCTCAATTTTATCCATAGCTATTTTACATTGATGGAACTGCAGCTGTGTCATGTATTTTGCCCATCAAAAGGTTATGGTAATGGCGTGAACACCGGAAGTGATGTCATTTTTGTTGTTGTTTGTGTTTATAGCATTCAGAAATGGCATTTACAAATACTTTTCCATGACATTCATAAGCTGAACAATTTCACTTTTGGGCTGTGACAATGATTGTTCAAAACAGTTGTGGAAGATATAGTCATTTTAATGGGATACTTCCATCTTGACTTCTCTGATTTGTTAACTCACTTTTATCTAATTCTTTAACTTTATAACTTGTCCTAACTTAAAAAGAATGTACTTTCCTTACAACAAAATCAAAGGGAGGGGTATCAGCCTTTTAGAAGGCTTCATTGCAGAACAGTAATATTTTGAAAGGCACTTGCTAACAGTCAAGTTTTGAGACCAGAAGCTACCTTCCAGTTTTTCCATTAAATTGATTTTCGAGTGACAGAATGTTTCAAGAATCCACTTCTGCTCATTGTTCTTGCCCTGTATTTTTGGGCTGGTTCCATTTGTTAGCCAGAGCATACTGAGTAAATGTTACATGTCATTTATGACAACAATATTGATTATGAAACTAATGATTGTTTGGCTAACAAATGAGAGATACCTACATGAGAAACCGACTCTCAAAAATGGTTCTTTATGATCAGTTGAAGTACTTAAACAAGAGTGTCAAGACCTTGCTTTCCTCTTTCTTTCCTTGGCTAGAAGCGGCTCCGGTCTGTTTATCACTGAGTCTTCACAGGAAAGCAAATGTAGCTGAACAACCACCAAAAGTGACTAAGAGTGGAGTGTTTGTGAGATGAGGAAAAGAATAAATGCTTTAGGTTTTGCTGGTATTAAACAGGACAGGAACTCCAATGAGACAGGCTAGGGAGTTTAGTTAACTTTGATGTCCTGTAGCCATATGTATTTTGTCTTGCTGGGATCACCTTTTGATCTCCTGCCAACACTGCCTTTGGAATCCAAGCTCAGTTTTTTAAATTGCTAATTAAAGATGGGAAGGAACAACATGAGTTGTTGCAAAGACAGTCCTCTGCTGTCACGCAGCTGACCATTTATCTTAATTATTTATATCAACCAACCAAGATCCACCTAAAATTTAAGTTTTCTGACTCAATTGTTCCTAATAATTTGTCAGAGCTACTAGGGCATCCTACCTAAACTGAGATTCTTTATGATCAATTCCCCCTCTGGTCTTTGGGAAGGAATGGAATTTCCTACACTTACAATTTTAGTAATGGTGATAGAGGTAGGGAAAAGGAGTATCTTATATGACAAGAATGGTAATACTTTTGTTTCTAACATGGTTGTGTTGTACTTTGCCTCTGACTTTATAACTCCATAATGTGTGTATTTATGGCTGTTTTTCATCATGTATTATGTTCCAAACTAGAAAATATTCAGGAGGAGGAGGAGAAGACAGCTGTTTGCTCTGTCCTCGCAGCTGCAGGCCAGGTCCGATAGACTCTCTAAGAGAAAAGGGCGGATTCTTCCTTCCCTGGTAGCAACAAAACAAACTTTTTCTGTTTGGGCGTGTGGGTCAAGGAGAGAGATAGCCACTGAGTTGTGGGGGCAACCTTGCTCCAAAGACTAAGAAGCAAATATGCTGTCACAGTTTGACTCAGGATTGACAATGAAACCAGTGACAACAAAGCTCTTGATCCTCTCCGCCTCCCACCCAGGTAGGGAAGAAGAGAGATAACAAGCAGAAAGATGCTCTGGATTGAAAACTAAAGTAGACAGCTTTAATTAAATACTAATGATAAAAGAAAATATGTACAAATATATGCAAGTGTGTTCAGAAATGTGCAAAACCCTATTGCCTCCCTCACCCCCAGCAACTCCCATGGCATCTTCTGACCTGGGAGCAGTTCTGAAATGTCCTGGAGCTGCTGGAGAGAGAGCACAGCAGACAGGAGCTGAGGGGAGAGTTGTGTCAGGAACACACAGGCCTGGGGTTCAACAGTGATGGAGAGATGGAGTCCTCCGTGGACACTGGCCATGGATGGAAGAGAAGGGAATAAGAAGAAGGAAGGGGCTCAGCTTCTGTGATCCTTGAAATTATTATTATTATTACTACCAAAAGCCATGTAGGCATTATGGAATGGAATGCTCTCTTTGTCCAGGTTTGTCATCTGTGTTGTTCACTGCTCTCTACAGGGTGGTTACAGATAAAACTTTTCTGTTTCTTTAATATCCAAAGCAGAGCAAAGTGTACTTGGTGTCTCAGCAGTAACATAAACATCCCAGTGTTATCAGTCTGCTAACTGGAAAACTTGAGTGCTTAAAAGAGTTCACTGCAGGAAAAAAAAAAAAAAAATCAGTAAAAAGAAAATTAGCTTCTTCCTGGCTCACACCAGGACATGTGCTGTGCAACAAGACCAGTGGTGACAGAAGAGCGATGTGTTTACATACCCACTTCCATCCTTTGCATCTTCTGAGCACTCTGGCATTTCAAATGTCAATAAGTTTTCTGTTGTGTTTTGTTTGAGAAAAAAACAGGTCTACAGTTCTAAAGCATTTGGCAGTTGGGAGTTGTGGGGGGGAGAAGCTCAGGGAGACCTGTGTTCTTAAACCACTCACTGGGCTCACATGAGCAAAAGTCTTTGTTATAGCTCTTAACATTTTGCAAGATCTATTCTTTTCTGACACATCACCTACAAACTGAAGAAAAATGAACCCTAAAAGCTTAAAGTTAGATTGGTTCTGAAATTACAAGATATTATTCTAGATGTTTCTACGATTCTTCAAATTAATGAAATAACTCCTATGTGGGCATCAATAACACTGCAAAAGCATGCACTTTGCAGTAAAACTGTTGATATGCTCTTATAATACTCATGGTTTGTTTAATAATGCTCTGAATGTATTTCTCCCCAATAATCTTGTCTGTTGTGTAATTAGTGTATTGCTCTGGTAATTGCTTTTTAGCCTGAGTCCTTTTTTCCAGACCCCTGATCATAAGGTCTTTATGCAGATGTTCCTCACCAATGTTTTCTTCTTTTAATTTCTGGGTTTTTCTACAAGACTATGCTTATAAAATCTTAATCCTAATCTTAATCCTCGAGTTTTATATAACATGGCTGTGGAATGGAAAAAAAACAGGCTTCATTCTTGAGAAGATGACTAAGCTAAATTTTCTCCTTTCAGTAGGTGGAAGATATGATTTCCAAAGAAAATTTCATACCCCAGTTATATAAAGGCAGACACTAATTAAGGAATTAATTTTTCTTGGGAAAATATGATGCTTATTATTAAAAATTAACCACTTAAATGTTGTATCTAGTTGCAGTTAACATTTGACTTTTTGTTGATAAGAAATTTTTCTCTGTCTTTATTCGGCTCAATGATCTTTAGATGTCACCCTTCTCAGAAATAAAATATGTTCCATTTTTTATGGACTAATGAGAATCTTTCCATAAACTGCTGTCATTCAATACTGTCTTCAATATTTACAGGCACATGTCAGTGTGGCAGGTGTAAATGTGCCAACTCAGAAGGAAATGGACTGGTCTATGGTAAATTTTGTGAATGTGATGACAGAGAATGCATAGATGAAGAGACAGAAGAGATTTGTACGGGTATGTATTTTAGTGAGTACAAGAAGGATGATGAAGATTAATACAGTCTGTTATAAAATCATTTAATTGTGTGGAGCTAAAAAACGTCTTTACTGAATGTGTGACTTAAAAGAAAAGTAGCCATATTTCCTAGAATTTAGCTTACAATTTGTAAGTGGGAATTTCAGATACAAAAATAAGCTAAGCAGGAGTTTAAAGAATGAAGAAATCCTGTGACAGCCTTCTCTTTTTGGAAGAACTGCAAAGAGGATTATACAAGGTAATGCACTCAGGTAATTCATAGTTTATTGTGTTTGCCTTTGACAGAACATAAGACATGTGAATGCTTTGTGGCATGGGTGGGAGCAAGATGGAGGACAGAGAAAAACAAAACAAAACAAAAGAGAAAAATTAATTATTAAGAATTTTGTCAAGGAAGCAAAGTTAGAAAAGAACAAGAAAAAATGCAGGATGAGAATTCAGAAGAAATTCAGGAGATAAAAAGGAGAAGGAATGAAAGAAGAAAAATTTCATCTCTGATAGGAAGAGCAAGACAATAAGATGGAATAAACAGCTGGTAGATAGAAAATCAACCAAAATGTAATATTGTGCAATGCACACCATTTAAAGCATTATACAAACTGTTGTCTGTGTTACTAGGGAAGCTTGTCCTTGAGGCAGAAGATGCTAAAATTAGTTTTCAAGCTATACACATGCATCCTCTACGTACATATGGTAGGGTTCAAAACTGTTCTTAGACTACTCAAACTCTGGTCATAGTGCTTGCTCTACATGTGTGTATAACAAGAGAGTGTACTTGTGTAAAATATCTTAATCTGTTTTTATCCTGACACAGAGAACAAATTAAATTCTATTTTTTTAAGTGCCCTTGAAGACAAGAAGTTTGTTGTTGTTGTTGTTTTCCCCAGGATTATGTAGGGATTTAAATGAGGATAAACAGAATCATAGAATCCCAGAATGATTTGGGTTGGAAGGGACATTAGAAATCATCAACCACCTGCAATAGGCAGGAACACATCCCACCAGACCAGGTTGCTCCAAGCCCCATCCAACCTGGCCTCAAACACTTCCAGGAATGGGAATTCACAGCTTCCCTGGGAAACTTATGTCAGTGTCTCATCACCCTCAGAGTAAAGAATTTATTCCTGAAGTCTTATCTAAATATTTTTCAGTTTGAAACTAACCTCTTGTCCTCTTGCTACATGCCCTTGTAAAAAGTCCCTCTTGAGCTTTCCTGTTCATCTGAAGTCCAAATCCAGAAGTAGAATACAGTATTTCCAGTAATGGCCTAAAATAAAATGAGTGCAGGATAATAATTTTATGTGCCAATGATAGAATTTGTATTTATTTGCTTATAATCTTTACATATAGTATAAAATATGTTAATATGTTTATTTTGCTCCAGTTTCAGTTCTCCTTCTGCTGCTTTTGTCAGTTATTTTATTTCCCCACCTGTGTTGCTGCTAGCTTCTCTTGTTAGGCTTTTCTTAGCTTTTATTTCCATTTGTTACATCCAATGGTGTCATATTCCAAAACACACCAGGTGCATCTCTTTTTAGAAAAAATAATTTTCTCTGTATGCAGAAATCAAAGCATGCTAATATAAAAGGACAAAAAAATCTTGATAGATTCCAGTCTCTAAGGTCTGTGATTTACCACTATAAAAGCTTTAATATCTCATGTACTTCTAAAGTAAATATAGGGTATAAACTAATGGTGTGCTTGCCTTGGTCAAGGTGCTAAGCTGAGAAGTTTGTGCACTTAAGTTATGAGAGTTAGATTTTTTTTCCTAATAAAACTCTACAGTATATAACCATATGTTGAACCAGACCTCACACAGAAAAAATGGTTAGCAATGCTCCCTGGATATTCCTCACAGACAGGGTGAAACTGATCCGTGCCTGTTGCACTTTCACTCTCTGTGTACCACCTACTTAGTTCCTACACAGTCTTTATGCCCTTGAGTGTATATGCAGGTCTTGAAGATTTTAATGGTCTTCAAGGAAAGCCAACTCAGGAGGATCAAATTAATGAAAAAAACAAAAACTTTTACTTGCACAGGTTTTGAAAGCCTGCTGCTCTGAGCTGGCATTCTATCCTGGAAAAGCATATGATGCCATGCTGAGATATGGATAACATACATTTTGATCTTTGCACAAGGGGACTGCATTTTTTCAGCAAATCAGTTCTTCAGTAGGGCTGCATAAACTTTGGGGTTTTTTTAACTAAAGATGAATGATTTCTAGCAAATTAACTTCTATCCTAATCTTCTTTATCTAGGGCTTTTTTGCTCTGATAGTGTTTTTTGTTTTCAGTCAAGAGCAAGAGATAGTGTCATAAATTTATCATTTAACTGATATTTATTTGAGGAATATACAAGTGTGAGTGAAGAATGAAGTAGTGATGTTTTAATCTGCCAAAAATTTCCAGTAGATCAAATAAATTTACTCTACCATTTCCCCCTTATTTTCTTGCCCACTGTTGAAGAACAACCTTTTTGCAATAAGCATTATTTTAGGCTGTCTTTGTTGTTCAGTTATCTAAGTAAGATGGCATTTTTATCTTCTGTTATTGTCTGGCTTGCAACCAAGCAGTTGCAATGAAAATTTAATGTCTAATGGAAAAAAATTATTCCACAGGTCTAAACTTGCACTCTTGATATTAAGAATGTAAGTTGACCAGACTGTGACAGAGACAACCAGGCCTACTAAGCTTAGCATACCTAGAAGGAAAAACAGGCAAGATCCTGACTTGATCCTTCTAGTAAAGAATTAACTTATGGCTTTAAGATTAGAAAGAGTTGCAGCTACTTAATTTAATTGCTTTTTGTCACTGAAGCACATAGAAGTAGCACCTTACTGGATCAAAATGTTCAGGAGCTGGTTTCATCAACCTTCAGGTGACCCAAATATCTTTTTGGGAGATATTTGGTTTGTTAAATTAACATCTGAAAGGTTCATTTTACTATTTTGTACATTTCATGAACTGTTTTTTCCATGTTCAAAAATCTTCTTGACAGATAAGCAGGGAAGCCATATACAATGTAGACAGTTTGTAGTAAATCAAGGTCCCACTGCTGGAATTATCTGAGGAGTCAAGAACACACAATGAATTCTCAGACACGCCCAGTATGGTGGGCAAGTGTGTTCTATCTTAACATTTACATCTGTGCTTAAATTCTAACTACTACGTTTGCCATCTCCCACATTTGCCTATAAAGTTTCAAAAATTACGCTTGCAAATATAAAAATACTGATGGTATTTTCTTAGTGTGTATTACTTGTTATTTGTTTTATTTTATGAAGGCATTGTTTCTATTCTGAGTCTAGCACTAAAAGTTTTTAATATAAAGAAAAAAGCAGTTAAATTGTTAATGCCTTTTAAAAACTTGCCTCTTTCTCACTGTATAAAATTTGTTTTGGGTTAAGGCCATGGAAAGTGTTACTGTGGAAACTGTTACTGTGAGGCCGGTTGGCATGGAGATAAATGTGAATTCCAGTGTGACATCACCCCCTGGGAGATCAAGAAGAGATGCACATCTCCAGATGGCAAAATCTGCAGCAACAGAGGTGTGTCATTTGCACGTTCCTTCTCTCCATAACCTATTTATTTAGCTTGCTTTTATTTTACAATATATGTTTTCTGCAGTGGGACATACATTGTGTTTGCTGATAGATTCTAGCTTGTTCTCACTTATCCCAAACCTGGATGCATGTTTCCAAGTGGGTGGGTAGATACTTGTGCTTATACACATCTATACACATTTTGGGATCAAGCTGACACAAGTTGTTCTTATCCTTCATATTTGTAGTAATGCTGAGCAGAGTGATCAGCTAGTATGTGTGCTTTGGTGAGAGACCTATCCTGCAAAATAAAGTATTGCCAGGTATTTGAATGTGAATGGATTGGTGCTGTAAGGCCAATAGGACTGTGTGTCAATTCACTCTTAAAGAATACCAAGGACTCACAGTGGAACAAGGAAAATGAATTTTCATTTGATGAAATGGAAAATGAAGATTTTCATTTCCATTGCATCCTGAAAACACAACTAAGACATGTTCAGTAGTGTTGCTGTGGGACGCATAGAGAGCTGGAAAAGTAGACCTCACTCAATATTTCTAACTACATGGGATTTTATTTGCACACAGTTCAGGAATTTGAATTTTACCTTATATTTCTGTCCATTTTTGCCATTTGGGGGAAAAAAAAATAGCACAGAGTAACATTGCTTTTTGCTTTTCACTAGCTGTTATGTTTGGTTCATTGGACAAAGAGTTAGAAAACCATGTATTTTGGCAATAGTCCAGAATAATTACAGTAGAACATAAGCACAAGTCACATAGATACCTCTCTTAAAACAATCTCTACTGACAAAAGCTGCTATAGTGTGAACATTTCATTATCCTGAGAGCATGTAGAAACCTCTGGTATTTATCAAGGAATTTAAAGATTGGCTCAAATACAGAGGTTATGTAGGCTCGTTTAGTCTTGGGACTTTAGCACTAATTTTTTTTCCAGAATTGTGGAAACAATAAATGTTGAAGTTGCTTTAGAGCAAATGCTTTGTTTGCATCAAGAAAGTGGTTTCTTGTCAACTAATTTGTTGTTAAAGCAATTTTAATTCAAATTTGAAATTTTAATGTGCGAGTACCTCTTTAATTTACATTCTACTTGAGGAAAATGGGAATAAATAGTATAGCTGATATTCTGAATAGCTATAAACTCCTATACAAAGGTACATTGATGGGATACTTCTATATTTTTAGCCTTTCATTATTTGCTATTTTATCCACATAGAAATTCTGTAGGCTTTTGACTACTTAAAGTTGCTTTCCAACACAGTTTCTACTCTCTTTAGTCCTATTTACCCAGCTTTATACATCTTGTGATATAGGTGCAGTTCATCCTGTCAGTCCTGAGCCTTCAAAAAATTAAATAGCAAGGCTAACCTTGCTGTCCAGCCTGCTTCATAGCTAAGGTGAATAATTTGTCTGTGTCCTGCCACCAAGAGTCTAGTCAACCAGCTGAAACCAGATGAAACTAGAAGTGTTAGATTTTTTGAACGTTGGTATGATGGGGCTTTTCATTCCAATAGCCAGGACAGCCAATCCAAATACATTTAGAATTTTCTGGAATGTTTAATTGCTCTCCAGAGTAATTCCCTCAAATTTTGTCTTGGGTTTTTTTGTTTGTTGTTTTTGGCATTTTATTTGGTGGCTTTTTTGTTTGTTTGTTTGGGTTTTTTGTGTTTTGCTTTGGTGGGGTTTTTTGGGGGGGTGGTGTTTTTGTGTTTCGTTGGTTTTGGTTTTGGTTGGTTTTGTTTTTCCTTCTCCAGTAATGTCACTGAATTGTGAAAGTATCAAAAATCAGATGCAGATGTCTCAGGGCCTATCTTGGTGGCTTTAGCACTAAACAGGACAGCAGCTCTTCCTGCTTCATGTAACTACCATGCAGGCACTATGTGCCCCTATTTATAGGTACTCCTTGGTCACCCTGTCCTGTTTCCCTCAAATACATTATATTTTTTGGAGTAATCTGAATAAGAAGACAAAGGCTTTGGTGGGGAAGCAGAAGGTGAAAGTGCTCTCCAGGACAGTAACTGCACTCATCTGTATGGCTAGGGTGCTTCTTTGTGCCTTTGCACCTCAGAAGAAGTAGTGACTATGTGGCCCTGAAGCATATTTGAATTTCTGAATAAGGAAATGGTCTTATTTGGTGTTTGCTTGTTTGTTTTTCCTTCTGAATTTTCCCAAGTAGGATGTGTGTAAGATCGTGGCAAATTAGTATCTCTGTCATATTTTGCATTTTCCTTTGTGTTGTAAACAACAGGGTGTGGCCCTGAAGATTAACTTGGGAAAAGTGAAAAAGTATTATTTTCATTTAGCTCCCTGCTAGTGTTCTTCTTAGGTAAAGAATTACCTCCCAGACATTTTCAGTTGGATGAGAATTTGGATTCCCTTTGAGTTTAAATGTTTATGCTTTAAAAATCATTAATTATCCACTGTGCACAAGCCCAAGTCATTTAAACAGCATTGATTTTATTGTCATTAGTGTCAGGGCAAATTACTGTTGATGTCAAAGATTTACGACTGTTCTGTGCACTATATTTTTCTGTTAATTCCTAACGAGGCCAAATAGCAAAGAGAAACTTGAACAGGAAGCCAACTTGTTTGTGTAAAATATTACTACTAAATGAGTATACAAGGTCTTTAGTCATGGAAGATGAACATACATTCATGACTAACACTTGCAGCTTTGAAACTGAACTCCAGTGAGAGCAAAAAATTCAGAAATGTAAATTCCTATAATCAAACTACTATTACTCTAAATTGCTCAATTGCTCAGTTAATCCATCTCTTGTTGTTTTTGTTTTTGTTTTTTTCTTTTCCTTTTTGTGTTTTTTTTCCTCTTCTCTTTCCTAGGCACATGTGTCTGTGGAGAATGCACATGCCATGATGTGGACCCAACTGGTGACTGGGGAGATATTCATGGAGATACTTGTGAGTGTGATGAAAGGAACTGCAAAGCAGTGTATGATAGATATTCTGATGATTTCTGTTCAGGTAAGGAATACATACAAAAGAAATTTATGTGTAGTTTTATAACAGTAATATAGAGTTGGTTTGATCTTGTTCTTCCTTAGGGCTCTAATTCTAATTTTTCTGTCTTAAATGTACTGAGTGTTATTCTTCCTTGGGGAAGTTTTAATTTGAAAATTTGCTAGATCAAATTTCACTTGTTCTTTCAGGTTATATGGCAGGGAAGGGACAAGTGAGCGGGAGAAATATGAGGATACCAATTGACTTGAGAACAAGTCAAGCATATATTGTAGAAAATATGATTATTTGATTCATCTACACATAACTGACTGTACATCTTAACCACTTTTACCTTCCTTTTTCCTTCTACTTGTAGTTCAGAGCATTATATTCAAATTAGTTAAAATCCAGCCAACCATTCAATGTTTGCAGTGAGTTAATTTGCTTGTTAATGTTTCAGCTGCCTGCAAATGTTATCTAGGTTTATTTAATTAATAAGCTGGAAGGATGTAGAATTGCAGTCATGAGAGCAGCAGGATGGATTTTGGGATGTTGTCAGTTTTTGAATGTATTATTGTGCCGCTGAGTATGTTTTTAGCACTTGGGGACTGATGTCAACATCAGCTAAGGAATAAAAAGCTAAAAACCAACACAGTAAATGTGTTTTGTAGTTAAGGGTGAACACAAGATTTTCAAAGCTAATAAGATTAAAGAAAACTTGTGGGATCTATAGCTAATGCTGCACCACTGAAAAAGGGTGTAAGCTCCCTCTTTCCTGGACATGATTGCCACTGGTGCTGCTGCTGCCCAGGATTGCAAGAAAGCAGAGTGTAAGAAGTTATGGACAATTACAAAGGAGTTTGGGGGAATATGTTGCCATTTGATATTGAATTAAGGACTATTCTTTATTACACAGATATAAATGTAAATGAGCGAATTTTATGAGATACAGAAGGTATTTATATGGCTTGCTTGATGTAACTACAACTCATGTTGAAATATAGCTTAGTTTTTTTATGTAATGAGCAAAAATTTTACAGAGTCGCAGAATTACCCTGGTTGGAAAAGACTTTTAAGATCAAGAGTCCAACCATCAGCCTAAACCATATCCCTAAGTATTATGTTTATACAACTCATAAATACCTCCAGGGATGCTGACTCCACCACTGCCCCGGGCAGCCTGTTCCAAGAACCCTTTCAGTGAAGAAATTCTTCCTAACATATGATCTAAACCTCCCCTTGAGCAACTAGAGGCCATTACCTCTTGTCCTATCACTTGAAACTTAATTGAACAGCCCAATCTCCACCTCTTTACAACCTCCTTTAAGGTATTATGTTTTAGAAATGCCTAATTTAGTCCCAGGTGGCCATCCAAGTATGCCTTTCTCAAACAGACTGTGTAAAACTCTTTCTTTCACGTGAAGCAGTTTGAATAATGTCATATAATTCTGTGGTTTACTTCTGTGTCAGATCTGAACAAGATGCATAAGTATTAATTTTGGTTTACTGTGGTAGACAGATATAATCTTCAATTCAAAGATTTACTAGTGCAGTAATTCAAAGAATTACTAGTATAAATACAAAATTGTAATTGGACAGCTTTTTTATTTTTTTATGTGGAATAAATTTACTTAGTGCACGAAGTGTGCATGTGTTAGGTGTGTCTGCAAATTATCCTCATTTTCCCCACCATTATTTGTAAATTTATTTAGAATTAATCCATAAAGGATTGGTCAGATTAGGGAAAATAATCAATTTCTCCTAAAATCTATGTCAAATGGAGTTGATGCAAAACTTCTCCTGTCTTGTTCTGCCTACCTAATAGATAGAGACAGGAAATCACTTTGTCCTGAGTGGCAGATTGGAATGATAGGAAATAACATTTATTTGGAAAGACTGTTACTGTAACTGAATGAAATGCTATTGTTTATTTCATAAACTACAAATGACAGGAATTGACAGCCCTGCTGTGTGGATTTAACAACACACAACATCAGCTCTCTCTGGAAGCTTCCTATGGATTGGGATGCCTGTCAATTTGCAATGTCTCATATTGGCAACCCGATGCCTTCTTTTAACACCTGAAGTGCTGTTCAGTCTGTTACTGAATGATTTTCTTTCAGAGGTGTTCACAACAGTTAAGTGATTCTCTTCCTTTAAAGAAAGAGTGGCTTTCATGACTTGACATAGAAAGAAAAAAGGGCTTCCATAAGAAAATTCCTACATTCCCACATCTCATTAGGTCCTTTGCTGTGGCTCTAGCAAATAATTTATTATACGAAAGAACATAATCCTCTCATAAATATCTATCTGGATCAGGGAACATATGTCCAATCCACAACCTGTCAGCAGGTACACATGAAAGCAAGGGACAGAATCCTAGAATCCTAGAATGGTGTGGGTTGGAAAGGACCCTAAAGATTTTCTAGTTCCAACACCCCTGCCATGAGCAGGGACACCTCCTACCAAACTAGGTTGCTCAAAGCCTCATCCAACCTGCACTTGAACACTTCTAGAGATGGGGCAGCTGCAACTGGGCAGTCTGTACCAGTGTCTCACCACCCTCATAGTACAGAATTTCTTCCTAATGCCTAATCTAAATCTACCTTCTAAAGAAGGAAAGCCTTTAATGTTTTTAATGAAAAAAAAATAACTAATGTAAGAAAAGTTGCACTTGTGAAATTATTAAGACTTTTATTCTGGGAACTACTTTGATAATTTGTGGAATGCTTGCTTCCACATGTGTTCTAGAAGTATAATAGAAACCAATCTTAAAATGCAAGTACGATTAGAAAGAGATATGAAATCTGTGTTGCTTTGCCTTTCAAGAAGAACCTGGATAGAGAAGTGGACATCATAGCAATGCTTTGGGGTCCTGTGTCCAGTGAATCATGACCATGTGAAAATTGTGAGAAAAGAACTAACCTGCTGCCAAAGCTCGTGAAAATAAAAATTTGATTTTTTGACAAGGAATGTTTTTACTGATGTTCAAGATTTCCTTATCCAGCGAAAGGAACATTGCCAGAATCTCACTGCTTTATGCAAAAAGCATTAAGCTCAGGATGAAGCTGAGCAAATAGCTTGGTTTTGATATGGATATGTTAACATTCATATAGAGGAAATCGTTGGCACCCACTTTTTGGCTGTCTTAGTTTTATAAAAGAAACTTTCCAGAAAATCTTCTGTGGAGTTCAGTTGCTTTTCCTCACCCCAACCTGTGGTGGAAGTTCACACAGCGAAAGGTATGTTTATGTTGCTGTGCTCAGACATGGTCAGGAAGAGCCAAGTTAGCTGAGGAGATAATAACAAGACCACATCCAGCACCCTATTGAAATAAGAATTGATTATGACCAGTGTTTTATTATTTGCAAATCAGTATTTAGTAGGAGACACTGGTTTGAGGCTTAGAATTGGTGTCACATTGCTAGTCTCTGGTGGATCATGATTACAAATAGATAAAAGCTGGCATTGATATGTTACTAAGAGAATATGAGGCAACTGTGGTAGAAAAAGAACATAAAGGTCAATTAAATACTGCCTTATGACAGCCCCACTTTTCCAGACATTGGTGAATTGTGTATTTATAAGCACTATTCCAACATTGCATATGAGGAGTGTGTGCCAAGTGGCAAAATATCCCTTAAGAAAAATAATCAAAAGGAAATATTGCTGAAATGAAATTATAGACCACTGCTATTTTCAGGGAAAAAAAAAAAAAAAAAGTAGACACAGTGAATTACTGAAATCACAGCTTTGAGTTAATTTAATCATGAGGTTTTAATACCTATCATCAGTATGGAGGGTAATCCTTAAATGTATTCATTGCAAAGGTCATGGACAGTGTAATTGCGGAAGGTGCGACTGCAAAGAAGGATGGACTGGGAAGAAGTGTGAACATCCACGTTCTTGTCCATTGTCAGTTGAGGAAAGTGCTAAGAAATGCCAAGGAAACTCTAATTTACCTTGCTCTGGAAGAGGTAAGCACATTTCTGGAAGAATTTTCATGCCCTTAAAATATACTTCCGTTAAAAGAATTTTTATGGATGTCCAGCAATATTAGTACTGAAAAATGGGAATTTTGTTGGCTTATTGTGCACCAATCATGCCTACATAACTTGTGAGTTATGGGAGGAGAAGAATACAAGGGTCACCTCTTTTTCTTGTCTCCTGCTGCTTTGTATTTTGTTTTATGTATTTCAACATTTGTTCTGGAGGTTTTCAAAGATGCTTTGGAGTTTGCTGCAGTTAAGTCTTTGCTAAAGATACATTTAAAATATGAACCTCTTCTTTGCACACTTTGACAAAAAGAGTATGGGATTCTCAGCCTCTCTAAAATGTTGTGGCACCATTGTGATAAGTGCTGTTTGGATTTATACCGCCCAAGAACCTGCCCTACTGTGTGCAGGACTGACTTCTAAAATGCAGGTGTTCTTCAGTGCAGTTTTGCTAGTTAGCTACTGGCTTTTCATCTGAAAGCATTTATTTGTGACACTGTAGCCTTTTCAAAAGCTTTGGCTAAAAAAATACACAAAGTCATACAGACAATTGAAAGACACATTGCAAGCAAAATGAAACTTTTCTCAGAAGGAAAAGGACCTGCTAACTTTTATCTGTCACTGTGTGAAATGTGTTTTTCTGCAAGGAGAAGAAAGAAAAGTAAATATGACACAGACTTTTGCTAGAACTGGTAATTGAAGTTGTTATGAATTCTGCACACTTAAGTATTTTCTGGGAAAGGTCTAAAGCTCCTCTTGAATTACTGCATTTGACCCTAGATGTAATTTCCTCTGCAATTTCTTCTTCCACTAATACTGTATAACACAGTCAAAAATTGTAGGCTGTCCAACCAAGTTAGCACTGTGATAATTACGTCTTTTCTCCCACTATAAATGTGTAGCAGCTCATAACTTAGAACACATTTACTGTATCTTAAAAGAACTATATATTAACAGATTGTTGCTTGTTTTTTCTTAATTAGGCTACATTTTTCCAGTAATTTACATCTCTTTTTTCCAGCTAAAATTTTTCAAATTAATTTTTGGCTACAAATTATGTGAATCATGGGCATCTGTAGAGAATTAACTGTATTTTATTGTTCATGGTGGCAAGAATTATAATTAAAATAAAGGAATATAAAAGTTTTTTTTGTTTCATTAGTTTTGTCCTTTTTTAAAAATACTGTCTCACTTTTCTCCTGTTCTTATTTGATGCTGACTGTCTCTTATCTACTTCACTAGGAGCTGTGTATGTTGATCATTTAGAGTGAGTTCTATGATTTAACTGCATTATGCATGATCACAGTCAGAGAAAATGAGATAAAAGAATGAGTGTCATAAAACCAAGTTTAATTTGTAAAAATTACAGTCTTAAGCTGTAGACTATATTCTATTTATATTTTGAATTTTGAAAAGTTTTATTAAGTATAGTGGGAAGAGTGACTTTAAAGATCTCAATATTAAGGGCAATAATTCTGTCCTTTTGACTTTCTGACTACTGTCCCACCCCCCTCAAGTATTAATGCTCGCAGTGTTCTCCTTTTGAGATACTAGCAGTGAAATAAACCCCTTTTGGGTGAATTGATTTGACTGAATGATCTGTTGGTGCAAATTTTCAGACAAAATACAAGAATTGTCTATTGGAACAAAAGGTTTAATCAATAGCAGATTTGACTGAATTTTGACTTCCAAACTAGAAGAGATCACCAAGGTTTATGAGGAGTGGAAATGGCACAGACATTTATCTAGGACACAGTATGATAGCTGCTGTAATGAAGGAAGAAAGGTTTCTGCAATCCATGTTTTTTAAAAAAAAAAATCCCAGGAATACTGCAATATTAAAATGGAAAGCAGTATTTCCATGAATTAATTGATTAACATATTTTTTTAGGAAATTGAGAGAACAAAAGATAAAGAGACTTTAGTCTAATTGTAACATTCTGGGCTGCGGGTTTTTTTATCCTAGACTCCCTGGATTTCCCTTTCTTTCCTCATATTTTAAGTATCATGAAAAATTGTGAGACAGTTCCTGTGCTGCTGAAGGGATGTAGGTGTTTAGTTCCTAAGAAAAATTGTCATTGGATTTGCACAGTTAAATTCTCTGGCCCCTTTTCAAAATCCTTAGCTTGGCATGGGCAAAAGTGTTACACAACCAAAAGAAACACAATAAGGATTTCTAATCAAATGCAATCTCTCTAAAGACTTCTGGATTTGTAACACTAATTTTTCCTAAATGTATTGGAAATATTTTCTGACAAGGAAGGGAAAGTTCCAAAGGAAATAGAAGTATTTCCTTTTCCATTTGTACATTGTCGCTTTGTTCACCTCCATGTAATATTTTTTTTCTCCTGGCTGTAGTACCAAGACAGTAAGTGCTTGTATAGACCAGTAATCTACTGCACTGCTGGAATCCTTATCTAACGGGATCTTTTAGCAAAGCAGTTCACATGGGCAACAGGATGCAGAATGGAGAGCCCACAGATGCAGATGCTTGATACCAGGCAACCCTCAGTGTCAATACAGGCTGAGGGATGAAGAGATTGAGAGCATCCCTACAGAGAAGGACTTGGGGGTACTGGTGGTTGAAAAATTCAACATGAGCCAGCAATATGTGCTTGCAGCCCAGAAAGGCAACCATGTCCTAGGCTGCATCCAAAGAAGCATGAACAGCAGGACAAGGGAGGTGATTCTCCCCCTCTACTCTGCTCTGGTCAGACCCCACCTGGATTATGGCATCGAGCTCTGGGGTTCTCGTCACAGGAAAGACATGGAGACGTTGGAGCAAGTCCAGAGAAGGGCCACAAAGATGATCAGAGGACTGGAACACCTCCTATGAAGACAGGCTGAGAGAGTTGAGGTTGTTTAGCCTGGAGAAGAGAAGGCTCTGGGGAGACCTTATTGTGGCCTTTCAATATTTAGAGGCCTAAAGGAAAGCTGGGGACAGACATATGGCCTGTTCTGACAGGACAAGGGTTAGCAGTTTTAAACTAAAAAAAGGCAGACTCAGACTAGATATAAGCAAGACATTTTTTACAATGAAAGTGCTGAGACACTGGTACAAGTTGCCCAGGGAAGTTGTGGATGCCCCATTATCAGAAGTGATCAAGGCCAGCTTCGATGGGGCCCTAAGCAACCTGATCTCGTGGGAGATGTCCCTGCTCCTTGCAGAGTGGTTGAACCTTCAGAGATGCCTTCCAACCCAAACCATTCTATGATGATTCTATGACTTTATGACTTTGGCATGTATTGTTTTTTTCTTGAAGAATGTTTTCTATTCATCTGTATTTTTTGTTTCTAGATTAATCAACAACAGTTGTGATACCTAACAACAGTTGTGATACCTAACATACTTTTTGCAATCACTTTTATGCTCTTGGATAAGGAATTTGTAAGAAAGAAGGATATGGTGAATTTTTAATGCCATATAGATAGTCATAATGTGTATGGAGAAAAAAGTAGAACTGTTACAATTCATAGTTTCTTCCTATAATCTCTCTAAATGCTGACATATGCTCAGATTTTCCGTTGGAGGAGTTTGAAATTTTGGTTGTGATACTCTGTTCCCACGATTAACAAAAATCATATTTCCTAGATGGTATTTTCTTGTTAAAATGTTAAATATGATCTTAAAATATGCTTCTCCTTCACTTAAAGAGTAGTAAAAAAAATAAACCCATGACAAAATGATACTTTTCAAAGATTTTCAATCAGTTTGAGCAACTAAAATAGTTTGCTTTCATCTTTGAACTTAATTTTTGTAAGGTGCTTATTTTATACCTTATACCTTTTCAGCCGGTAGAGGAGAGGGAAAGCTTTCTATGGACATGCTGAGCAGTAAATGAGAATGTCTGCATTCTCAAATGATGTTATAAAGCTAGAGGAAACACAAATTGTCTCAGTTACATCAATCTGGCTGTCTTGAGCTTCAGTAGTTCCTGTTATATGTAACAGGAGAGAAGGATCAGGTGAAAAATTTGGGAATTAAGCTACACTATCTCTAGGTACCTTCCAAAAATTGCTTTCCTTATAAAAGCATGTTGCAGGATAGGAGAGATTCAAGCTGGCTTCATTCATATATAGTGAATAATTCCTTCCACACTTTTATTCCTACGAGTGATTTTTTACTTGCTGCATGACTTTTCACTATAGATTTAATATTTTCACAGTGGAACTCTGTGCCTTTTAAGAACACACCTTACAACAAGACCCATGTCAGAGATAAAGGAAAAGACACATCAAAAAATCCTTATAGTAAGAAATAAAGTCATACCAAATTGTTGTCAGGATTAAGAGACAAGACAAATGACTTATCTGGTTTTAAAATGCACATCACTCCCTTGAGTTTCCTCCTAGGGCAAAAAGCACATTTCAAAATAGTTATCATAAAAGAGAACTGCAAATGAAAAGAGTACATTTTGAGAACAATAGATGAGAGGGTTTTTTAAACAATAATCTCATTCTCATCTCTTACCAATGCCATGGCCAAGATCCAAAGACAGATAAACGACAAATCTTCTGTTTGGTATTGTCTTTTACCATTTAAATGTCTGTTCTATAATTGCTTTTCTTTACTTGTCATGTAGAGAGAATGAGATTGTTTCTTTATCTGTGACGTTCCCCCTTACACTTGTGCCTCTAGCATTGGCTATCTGAAATATGAATATTGTTTTTGATCCTGTACTGAAAAAGATTTTTGCTGGTTTTGCAAACTTGCCAAAGTCCCATTTTCAAGATAGTAAGTTCCTGAGGTCAAAAGTTGTATGGCATGTTTGAAGTTTACTGACATAATTACAGTTACTTTGCTGTTTCTTCTCTATTTAAAATTATCAGATGTTGACTGACTTAGTGGAAAAGCAACAGTGCTCACTGCATCTAGTGGTGAACTGAGACAGTGAATCAGTGTGGGGAAAAACATTTATAAAAGAGTCAATGATGACCCCAAAGAAAAGTACCATTAATCAGTGGCTGCTGTACATTCCTAA